TGATTGTTTTTCCTTGCAGACCTATGCCATGAGGGTGCCTTCAAAATCCAGGCATCAGCCACTGTTCAGCTGTAATGAGCAAAGTGTAACAGGGTCCAGTTACCTGCCCTTCCTACTGAAACCTGGCTCCTCCTATCTCCCCCGATTTTTTTTCTTGTCAGATTCTTCTTGCTGGGTCTTGCCACAACTTTATCTGAATAGCCAGTCATTGGTTACCCCATGAAACCTCTCATAGTGTCAGATTCAGCTCGGACATTTTTTTCCTTGCTCTGGGATTAATAAATAAACCAGGCTCTGGGAATGACTGGTGCAAGGCTGTCTTCTCTTTCCTACCATTTTCTACATCTCATGGGCTTCCTGAGTTAGCAGCGGGTCCCCCCCACCATGGACAAGCTTTGTTTTGGTACACAGGCCAAATATGCCAAAGCATTTATTAATTCTGAGCTGCTCACTCTGCAGTGCTCTGTGGAGGGGGCTTCAAAAAATAGTAGGTTTAGCCACTTATGATGAGGCCCTTGGGAAATGAAAAACCCTTCAACTCCATTGTTTGTGCTAAGCTGGATTTGTTTCTCACCCAGGAATCAAGTTGGTGTGTTTTCCTGCCCTGTTTTGGGTTCTGTAGTGGCTGCTTCAGTTTCTGCTTAAGTCCAACAACAGCACTTCTGGACTGGGAATAAAAAATAAATCCCAAGCTATAAAAGTTTGAGCTGGTTTGTGTTCAGTTCAGCTCTGTGCTCCCTGTTGAATTTAGTGATTCAAGGGCAATCCTATAGACCTAACATGACTTTCAGACACTGATGTTGTGACTCTGAACCAAGGGGCACCACCACTGGACTTTCCTCCATGACCTCTTTGCCTGAACTGGACCCTGGACTGCCTTCACCATCACACCTGAGCTCCCCTGAGATGCTCTCTTTGCTGCCTGGTTTCTCTGCTCGTGCCTTCTCTGTCCCTCCTGTGTCTCTGCTGTTCCATCAAAGACTCAACTGGGAGGCTGAGGAGACTGTGCTGACCTGGTACCTCCTGGAGCACTAGAGGGCACGAGGAGTTAGAGGAAGAAGACAAATTAAACTGATGAGAATGGGGCTCCCCAGAGCTGCTGATGGCAGTGGGAGGCAGTGTGTGTATCCTCTTTTGGGGGATGATGGCTTTTATTCCATGGCAAGGTACATTGGGGTGGAAAGCATGACAGGGAAGCCCTGATAAACCCCCAGGTATTTATCAGCATTAGTGGACAAGGACCAACCTATAACTAAGCAAGGCCAATGGCTGCTATTCCATACCTCTCTCCTTATGCCCTCTGTGCAATTAACTCTACCTGAGACATGCTTAGTTTGGGGGGTTTCAGTGGGGAAAGGAGAGGATTTTATCACCTATTTGACAGCATTGTGGATGTGGGCTGTTTTCTGGCTTGCCTCTCTGCCAGGCTGGCCAGCCCAGCTGGGTGTGCAGCAGCTGATGCCTATAAAGGGCTGTGAGGGCGGCAGAAGGAGAGGGGGGTGTGGTCCTTTCAGGGATGAGTGGTGTAGAGGGATATCTCTGGTGCTGGGCAGGTGTTTGTCTTCTGGGTCAAGCTGGCTTCAGGCATTAAAGGCACCTGCATGATGCTGGCTAGCTGGCCCACTGACTCCTGTCCTAGGGGAGGTGGCTCAGAGCCACCTTCTTCCCTGGTCTCCTTTGTGCCTGCTTCTGGGTTCAGCCCTCCCTGCCCCAGTGTGGTTCTGCATCTGCTTCACTGGGCAGAGTTAAGGTGATGTTGGAGGAGGGATCTGGCTGCTGCTGTCTGGAGCCGTGTCAGGTGCTGTGACTGTGGATACCTGCCCTGGGAGCTGAGTGCTGCTGATCTCCTTCCAGCAGTGAACAGTGGGGACCAGCACAAAACGTGACAGCTGGGCAGCCCCAGCGGGGTGATGGCTGGGGAAGATGTGCAGCCCCTCTACCAGTGCTGTGGCCTTGTTAATTTGGTTGACAGCTTCTGCTTAATGCAGCTTTCCCAGACCACCCAGATTTTGCAACACCTGGCTGCCTGCAGACCCTACAGCTAGAAGGAGAAAGCCTAGTCCTGCTTCTCCTCTGGCTTAATTCCCTTCAGCTGCTGATGTGGGCTGCTGCACCTAATTCAGCCCCTGGTGAACTAATCATAGAAACCCTGGTCCTCAGAGGCTGCAGTGAGCTGCCTGAAATACCCTCCCATCTTTTGTAAGGCCAGTTGCCCGTGGTGAAGGTGTGCTTTGGGAGTGAGGGGACTTGAATCGTACTTCTTGTGTGTTTTGCTGGTTCACCTGGTGACCATCCTTTGCACTAGCCCAGGAGGGCTCCAGTACCTGTGACATGTGAGGAAACTGGTGGATGTGTAAATCATGAGCAGCAACACTCTGCTGCAGCCTCCTCAGTGTCGCACAGTTGGCTCAGTCGTCAAACCTGATCCTTCACAGACCGAGCTGGGAATTGTGCACAAGAGCTCCAAGGTAAGGCAGTCTCCAGACCCCTCCTCACATGGAGGAGAAGGAGGAGGAGGAGGAGGAACAACACCACGGGGTGGCAACATCTAGGAAGGAACCACTTCCCTCCCAGCTGCTCCTGGATCTCTGATCAGAGGAAATTGGGTGGGTGGTATGAGTCTATAAGCAAGGTGCCCTGCACAGGGACACAATTTTTAGCAGTGCTGATGGATGGTATTCCCACCCCACAGGGGGCTGACCTCCTCTGGCTGTGTAAGGAAAATCTACTGCCCTGCACAGCTGGTTTGCACAGGCAGGATGAGCAGCATGCAGTGCTTGGAGCTCCTGCTGCAGTCCTTGCTGGGCTGGTGTCTTGGCAAGGTGGGTCCAGTGGATCTGGCTACCCAGAAACTTGGCTGGAGCTGCTCAGAGACCTTCCAGAGAGCCAAAGATGGAGGCGTCAGAGCCCAGTGCCTCCCAGCTGCAGCTCAGCCTTCCTGGGTGTGAGGGATCAGAGCTGTTTCAGGATGAGCTCTGATGGTACCAATGCTTTCCTGCCCGAGTGTAGTTATACTGGGATACACAGTCTCAGGACTGTTTCCAACTCCCACGGGATTTTGGCAGGGTGGTGAGGTACCTGTGTTAACTTGTGGCCTCTCTCCTTCTAACAAATTCCCAAATGACGTGACCTCGGGTCCCAACATCACCCACGTCATCTGTGTGAGGGGAACCCTTGGTGACGAGGATGCCCCATGGAGGGGCTGGGAGTGCTCCTGCCCCTGGTACCAAGGTCACCGGGAAACACAGGAGGTGAGGCCCCTAAAAACCTCCCATCCTCCACTATCCTATAGCGGGTCCCTCACAGCTCTGCAGCCGTGTCCCTGCTCGGCAGCCGGAGACGGGAGACCCAGCCGCCCTCCGTGCCGGGGAAGCCGCTGTCCCTTGCCCAGGCTGCTCTGGCAGCGGCAGGTACGCTGCCCCAGCCCCGCAGCGGGCGGCCCCGGCCTGCGGGGCCGCGAAACTCCCCGAAAAACAGCGAATTCCCTCAGGCAGGAGAGAAGGGGAGAGCTGAGCAGGATGGGAAAGCGCCGGGACTACGGGAAGGCTGCAAGTTCCAGCTTCCCCGTCCGGGCGGGATCTTTCCTCCGCGGGTTTCTCCTCCCCGAAACCGATGCGGTTTGGCGGAGCCGGAGCGCCGCTTCCCAGGGGCCGCCTCCCCCCGCGGTACCGGCGCCCGGAGCGGACCGAGCCCTGCTCGGCGCCAGCGATCACCGGCGACGAGCCCTGCGGGGCAGCTCTCCGGCTTTGGGGTTTTTTTTGGTTATTTTTTTCCTCCTCGCAACACTCCTTTTCCTTAAACACTCCGGAGCAGCGGGAGTGGGGCGCCCGGGGCGATGCGCGGCGCGGGGGAGCGCATCCTCACCGGAGACCGCCCCGGGCAGAGCACATGCTTTCCCCAAAAACTCCCGGCCTGGGCTTCTCCTGGAAAGGGGAGTTAAGTCCAGCTGGTTTCATTACCGGGAGAGACGCTGTGGTGGGGCACCACCCTCTACCTTTTATTTTTTTTCTTTTCGTCTTTTTGGCTTTCAAGGAAAAGAAGGAAAAAAAGGCAGGGAGTAAAGCGGAGCCGGGGCGCCTGGGGGCCGCTACAAAAACACGTCCTCGAAAGCGGGAAGCGCCGCCGGCCCCTCGTAGGCGTGGCACGGGCCAGTGTCTTGCCAGCCAGGTAGGAAAGCGGGGAGGAAATCTTATTCCGAGTGGGGTTGGGGGTGGGGTGGGGAGGGGAGGGCAGGGCCGGGGGTGGGGGTCGGGCCAGGGAGGTATCAGCTGCGCAAGGAAATGTGCCTTGGCAGCAAGTCGGACGGGCGCTTCCCGCAGTGTTGGTGAGCTCCGTCTCCGGAGGCCGTCCAGGGCGAGTCGCGCCTTGCTCCGACCGCCCAGAGCAGCGGGAGGCGGAGGGGGGGACGGAAAAGCCCAGGGAAGGGAGGGGCCTCCACACGACCTCCCCAGGGCGGACGCTACTCTCCCATCGGCTCCCGTAGGCAAGGCACGCCGCGGGGGACCGCCTCAAGGTAAAGCGGCCGAGTCCCGCGACGCAGCACGTGTACTCCTCCGTCCCGCGGCCACGGGGACACGGCTCCGGTCGCACCCGCACGTCGGGGCCCGCGGGCTGGGGGGCCGCTGCGACCATCGCGCCCACCCGGGACAGCGCTGCGCACCGGAGCGGGGGCCCACGGGGGTCTCCGTTCGGACGGAGGAGGGAGCGGGGCGCTGGGGCAGCGGCGGGCGGCCGCGAAGCCCCGACCGGGGCGGCGGGGCCGTGCCGCTGAGCGTGGTGTGTTCGGGTGATGTTGGCAGGCGGGCAGGCGTCGGCCCCTTCGCCCGCGCCGTCCTCCCCACCATGCTGGAGTCGGGCGTGAAAGATAGGAGGAGAGTGCTGCAGAGCGCGCCTGGTATCCCGCGGCCCTTTCTTCCTGCTGCTGGAGTAAGTCGGGGCACCACACTTGCGCTCCCGGGGAAGCCCCCCCTAGGGCGTGGCAACGGCAGGGGGCCCGAACGATGGCGCCGGCGTCGAGGGTCCCGGGGACAGCTTTCACCAGCTCGTTCCTGCCCGCAGCCCTGCCCGGCGCCGCTGCCTTCTCCCGGGGAGTGCGCCCGGCGCCCGCCTTCCCCGCGCCCGGTTCGTTCCGCGATGGCATTAAATTGTGTGCCCTCCTAACCCCCACGTAGCGAAGGCCTTTCCTTCGTATCTAACAATAAATAATTTACTTTTTCTTTTTATCTTCGTTTTAATATCGGTTTGAAACAATCGCCGTCTCTCTGAGCCGCGGCGCCGCTGCCGCCTTTCCGAGAGGAACGAAATTGGGGGCGGCGTGCCCCCCTCGGAGCTGCCCTAAGGCACAGGTCCCCCGTGGATCCCGCAGCGGCTCCTCGCACTCCCCCGTCCCCCCGCGACCCACCAGCCTGGGCGGGGGAAGCGAAAGCCGCGGGACCCCCCCATCCGTCCCTCGCCCAGCCCGTTTCCCCGGCTGCCTTTCCTTCCACCCATACCAACCCCCAGGTCTTTCCCCACAGGCAGAGCCGCGACCCCCAAGTCGGTGTGTGAAGGGTGTCAGCGAGTGATTTCGGACCGGTTCTTGCTGCGCCTGAACGACAGCCTGTGGCACGAGCAGTGCGTCCAGTGCGCGTCCTGCAAGGAGCCCCTGCAGACCACCTGCTTCTACCGCGACAAGAAGCTCTACTGCAAGCTGGACTACGAGAAGTAAGTGTCCCTCCGCCCCTGGAGAGCCCCCCCTTTCTCTGCTCCCAGTGTCCTGCTGACGGGGTGGGGAGACTGGTGTCCCGTTGCTGCTCCCCACTTCCCCTGCCCTGTGTGTCCCAAGAGGTGTCAGCCCTTACTGTGCTGCCCAGCGAGTTGTGGTTCTCCCCTGCAGTTTTGGTGCACCCTGGTTCTCCCCTCTTTGGAGGTGTTTTGTTGTGCTTGGGTTGTGCCTTGGGAGTTGAGAAATGTTTTGTCAGGAGCCTGTGAGACCCATGGAAACCCCAGGTCTACCCAGGGATGGAGCCAAGTGTTTTCCTATCTCCTCTGGCTTTATTTTCCTGCTGAGTGTCTAGAGGAGGAATGTTATATCCTCTCTGACCTAGTCCTGGACAAGGGTATTTTCCTAATATCCTTAAGGCAGGGAAATGCTATTGTTCCCTCCTGGGTCAGATGGGGAAACTGAGGCACTCGGCAGGAACTAAGGAAGGCCCTGCTGAATTCAGAATGTTGACTGTCACACAGGGCCTTTGCCTGTGCCTGGGTCTATGATGGAGAGGAAATTTGGATGGAAGTGGTTAAAGCTTCCAGCCCCGACTCTCCCCCTTTGGCAAGTGTGGGGCTGGTGGGGAAAGACAGCAAGAAAATTTATTTTTCCTTTTTTTAAAGAAAACCCGTTCCAGTGGGAACGGGGAGAAGGCCGCGGAGTCTTTCCTCTCCTGCAGCTGCTTTCGTTTTTTTCCTGCTCATCCCGCTCTTGCCGTCCTTTCTGGACCCCACTCCCCGGCTGGGTTTCGAAGCCGTTAAATTTTTGTTGCCTCGGGGCTGGTTGTTCCTTGAGGAGGTTGTAGGTGGGGGGCTGGATCCCTCGCTATAGTGATAGCAGGGCTGCTGGAGCCCGGAGGATTTAATTCCCATGTCACTGTTACACGAGAAAACAGTCGTCGGCAGTGCTCTCGTCCCTGGCCTTCAGCAAGTTGGCGAGTGTGCCGGGGGCTAGCCTGGCTCCAGGCCTTTTTAAATTTGGTTTTTTTTGGTTTTTTTTCCCCTCCTTTAAGTCCTGTATTGTGGGTCTGAGTTTAATCACTATGGATACAAGGCAAATTGAAAGCAGAATTTGTGCGCGTGACCTTGTTTTCAAATGTTTACGAAAGAGCGGAAGAATTAGCTGCCGCCAGAGTGGGAAGGACAGAGCTGTGTTACGGGGTGGGTTTTTTGTAAGCAAAAATTTGTTGGAATTGGGCATGCTGCTTGTTTGTCCGTAGAAATTTGGCTACTGGCTCCCATACATTTCCAAAACAATCGAATTCTCATTTTCTGCTTGGAGCGTCGAGGGGGAATTGGGGTGAATATTACCTAGAAATGTCTTTCCAGCTTGGGGCATGTATAGATTTTAATCCTGACTGCAGCTTCCGAGGTCTGGAAGCGGCTCCAACCTGAAACCCTTCGCTGATGTCTCTTGGCCGTGAAAGAAATCAGTGCCGCAGTTGGTGTCTTGCTGTGCCCATCTCACTGTTGGGATGGACAAGGATGATTGCAGGAAAAAAAAGTGTCACAAATTATTCCCGTGCTCCAGTGGTAACACCATTTATCGTGGTTATTTCCCAGTTGTGTTTGGGTTGGTGACTTTTCCTGGAGCTGGGGAGCAGGCTCTCTGACGGGCGGTTTCCCTGAGGTGTGATGGTTTTAGCCCTGAACTGCCGCTGACCTGTCCCCGTCCTGCACCCGCCTGCCCCTTGCTATCATGTTATTGTCCACTTGAATTTAGTTTTATTTCATTATTTTGGCATGGGGCTGCGGGTCTGTGTCCTTTTTTCTTCCATCACCCTGTCAGTGTTTTCTGCTGTGCCGGTGCTCCAACTCCTTACCTGGTGATGGCAAGGATGTGGAGCAGAGTCCCAAAGAACTGTATGGGCTTTGCCAAGCTTTACATACTACTCTGTATTTAACAAAAAACATTCTTTCTTTGCCCAAACTGCCTGTCCTGAGCATTTTTCCGGGTGCAGGAGCTCTGTGCCTGCTCCGCCTGCGGTGCCGACGCCGATAATGGGGGTTTCAGTGTGAAACACGCAGAGCAAGAGCTGCCGCTCTCAGACTGAGCTCATTATCTCGAGCCGATAGCTGGTTAATTACCGCAAGTGACTGACACTCCTTGTGCAGCGCGGTGGTGTAAAAGCGGCCGACGGTCCCTGCGGCAGCGGCGTAGCCGGGCTCCCGAGGCTCTCCGTGACACAGCGAGCCCGCCGGATGGAGGGCTGGGTGGTCTGGTGTGAAATCTGGGGTGTTGCGGCAGGGGTCAGGATCCAGTCCTGCCAGTGTTGTGGTGTTGGTGTTTTGAAGGTTGTGTTTTTCTTTCCTTTTTTTTTTTTTTTTTTTTTTTTTTTTTTATAATTTGAAAGAAGGGATTTCTCTTCCAGATGGTGACTGTTGGGGTGTTTTGCCCGAGATGAGTCTGCTCGGTATTTTCCAATGTGTTTCTTTACTCTCTGTTTGAGCTCAGTTTGTAACAAGGTTGCAGAGGATTAATGACAGAGTGTAAGACGGCAGAGTTATGCCTTCAGTTACAAATACACCCATGGAAAGTGTTACAGATGGGTTTAAGCAAGCATCTGACTTGCTGGACTCTAGAAACTGAGGAATAATTTGTTAAAACACATGTTTTACATTTCTTTGTCTGACACAAAGAGGAAGACCTTGGGAGAGGACTTGGAGAGCGATGGACTAAAGACTGAGGATGCCAGGCTAGCATTGCTTTGGGGTGCTGCAGCGCAGGACCCATGGGCAGTTCGGATAGCGATGCCGGCCAGGAATGTGGGGAATTGGGGGCTGCTCTTGAGGCAGTTTCCCCAGCGCTGGTTGGGAGGACTCCTGGAGAGGGACGGCTCAAGCCTGTGCCCCTGGGACAGCGTCTATTTGGGGCAGAGGACGTTCGTTACAGAACATCCCGAATCCCGCGGCAGCCCCCGGCGCTTGTCCAAACCTGATAACTCTCAACTATGACAAGGTTCAGGCTTCGCCCTGGCCGGCTCCCTGACTGCAAAGTGGCCCTGGGGATGTGCCTCAGCCGTGGGGCCCCGGTGGTGGTGGTCAGGGGAATGGGCTTTTGTTGTGGCAGATTTGGGGGGCAGTATTAAACCTGGCCATAAATGGGGAGGAGGGCTGGAAGCAACGGGAAGAGCTGGACTGCCCCAGAAGCTTAAAATCTGCATGGGGACAGGAATGGCTGAGCCCTGCCTGCCTAGAGGTGTTTCACAGTGGGTTTGCATGGGCCAAACAGAGCCAGAGCCATAGGGACGACCTGGAGCCACAGGGGCAACCCCACTGCAGGTGATGCCGGTGGTGTGCGGGAACCCCGCCGGCCGGTTCTGGGGGCCGGGAGCGCTGACAGCGGTGCGGTCGTGACGGGGGGCGCAGCTGGGGAGCGTGGCGACGGCGGGACGGCTTGGCACGTCCCCAGCCACGGCGCAGAGCCCCGGCCCCAGCCCCGGCTGGCAGGAGCAGATGGCCAGCACACTCGGAGCAGGCCTGGCAATGTGGGCGCCGGCAGTGGAGGGGCGGCTGCAGCCCCTGAGCCGCCACCGCCATGCCGGGCTCCCCGGCCGAGGGAGGCAGTTGTGTGATGCTCGCCCTGTCTTCGCACGGCTTGATGGCTCTGTGCTGTTGCCAGATTCTGCGCCGTCATCACAAAGCTCCCCTTGCTTGGCTCCGAAATCCCCTGCTCCCGGAGTCGTGGGGTTGTGTGGGTGCCTCCACCTCCTCCTTTGTGAAATAAAATGAGAAGTCGCGTCCGGTTGCAAAGGAAAAAAAAAAAAATAAATCCTTCCACCCTCTGAACGTGAACACAGAAGAACATACATGCAGAGAAACCCATCAGTGTTGGGTTTTAAAATCACATCCGAGATCTTCATATGAAGGAATGAGCCTGAATCCCTGGCGGTGTGGTCCTGCCAGACTGCGGATGGATCCTCTGGCTTGGGGCAGTGCAGTCTCCTCTCACCCGCTGGAGGCTCCTCTGGCAGCTGCTGCTGTAGAGGAGAGAGGGGGAAGAGGTTTGGAGCATGGTGGCTGTTTATCTTGCTTAACGTGGGTAATGAATGTAATTGCGCAATTAGCTGCGAACCTTGGCGCTGCTTCCCCAGCCCGGAAGGGCTGTGAGGGGATAATCCCAAACGGATTGAACGAAGAAGGTGATGCTGAACACTTTAGCACAACCTAGTCCCACCAGCTGGAGAGCTGCTGTGGTCTGATGGGTTTGTCCTGGTGATTTGCAGTCCTCTGCCTTCGCTCGCCTGGAGAAGTGGGACTTTTTGCGCTTTTTGTGACTGATGGGAGAGAGTTGTCCCTCCGGGGAGCCACTGGTCAGCCCAGCTAGAGTGCAACAGTAGGTCCTTTTCCCTTCTTGTAGGGCAGCCTGTGGAGAAGATGATGCTGACTTGGATTTCTCCAGCTGGCCAGGCACTGGGGACAGTCAGGCTGGTCTTGATGGGGTAACAGAGCACATGCCAACTCTGTAGCACAAGGTTCCTCTTGCTGATATTTCTTTTCCCATCCCTCAGTCTTTTCTTCTAGTGCTTTCCTTGCTTCTTGCCTGCTCTCCATCCCCACCTAGCACCTCATCTCCTGTAGCAAGCACCTCTCTGTCCTCACCCACATCTCCTGGAGGAAGCGTACCAACTCTTTGTGGGCTGGGATGAGTGTGGCTGTGGGGCAGCTGAATCTGGCCTCGCCCCCGCCGTGTTTGGTATGGCTGGGCTGGGACAGGCGCCGGTCCTTTGTTTTTTAAGTTGCCCTGTTGTGCCAGTGGGGGGTGGAAAAGCAGGGATGCAGCGATGAGAGCGGCATTACGGAGGCCGCTGTGGGATCCACTCTGGAAATGCCAGGCAAGCAAAATACGCCTTGCCTCTGTCTCCACCAACCCCTGTCCTCCTGCTCGTGGGGCTCCCCCTTTCCAAAGGGAGTGGAGAAGTGATTTGGCGTCTTGTCCCTTCTCTTTGCCCTTAATT